AACTTTGCATCGTCAAACTTCATTGACAAACTTCAAAGCCTGACCGTAGACTTAACGTTATTTTCCGGCCAATTTTACGCTTTCAAAGCCAAACTGAACTTTAAATTATATTTCAAACTTAAAAACCTCTTGAAAATGCCTTAAATTTCTCGTTTTGCAAAGCCAAAACATGCCGAATTTACCCTGTTTCAAAAAAGACTTAGAAAAATAATCTAAATTTTGAAAAACAAAGACTACTAGTGTCTGCGGAGTTCTATTGTTAGCGCTATTGTTTTTATTGAACAAAGACTGAATGCATAATTAATGTATGGGGTTATATGTTACTCTTGCCCAGAAAACATATAGTTAAATTCAAGTCACAGAAATCAAAAAGTTTAACAATTTAAAAGTGTGGCGTGCCTCAGGGATCTGTTTTGGGGCCTCTTCTTTTCCTTAATATACATAAATGATATTGTAAGGTGCTCAGAAATACTATCAGTTATTGTATTTGCAGATGATACAAATCTATTTCTCAGTCATTAACAATCTAGTTTATTTTCAAGATACCATGAACTGTGAACTAGAAAAAAATTCAACCTGGCTTTCTGCAATTAAACTCACTTTAACTATCAAGATAACACATTTTATTGTTGTTAAATCCAAATGCAAGAAAAGTAAACTAAGTGTTAAAATTAAATTGAATGATCAAGAAATCGAATAAGTAAAATGCACAAAAATACATTGATGATGAGCTAACATGGAAGCACCACATCAATCATGTTGTAAAAAAAATATCAAGAATGACAAGTATAATAGCTAAGGCAAGACATTACTTATCCTTAGAAACACTACAGGCAATCTATTACACCATGGTGTACCCTTATTTAACATATTGTAATGTCAGTTGGACAAGTACTTATCCAACTAGACTCAAGCCATTACTTATGATACAAAAAAAGATAGTTAGAATTATGTCATTCACTCACTACAAAGATGAATTCTGGCCACTATTTTTATCATTAAATATTCTTAATATATATGAGTTAAATATGTACTTAATGGCTTTTTTATGTACTCATTCTTTAATGACAAGCTCCCAAGTTACTTTAGAAATTATTTTATATCAAATGAAAACTTTTATAGTCACAATACTCAATCAGCCTCAAACATATTCATCGATTTAAAATGAACTAATTATGGGAAATTTTCATTGAAGTTTAGGGGAGCAAAAATGTGGAATGAATTACCCAAAGACCTGAAAGAATCAAAATCATATACACAATTTAAGAGATGAATGAAAATATATCTGCAAAATCATTGTTAAATTCTATGCTAGAGATATAACTTCAAATCATAATTTTATCAGCAAAGCAGCAAAATATCTTGCATTCACAATTAAACCATCTGCTATAAGTTACAGTTTTTATTAGATGGGGATCTTCTTCTAAAAGCTCACTTAGAGCTTGCTAAGATCTCCAGCCATAATATTATAGCTTCTCACACACCCCTGGGAGCCAATTAGTCCAGATGCCCTAATGTTCTTCCAAAACGCAATGTTCTCCTTAAGACTACCTTTAATCTGTACCGAAGATACTGGTTCCAAATCCTGTAACTCCATTAATTGACACATGTCCTGAAAATTATTCAACATCGAGTCCAAACATTGTTCGGTATCCGCATTAATTACTTGATGCGAGCCCAGAGGAATGGAATTGTCCTGATCCGTTGTTTGTGGTAGCTGCCTGACAGTCACAGGCAAAGTGTCTGGGGCAAAAACAGCGACAACAAGTACGTGAGTCACGCGTAACTGAGACAGTTGGCACTTTTCCCGCCATTGGACTCGATGGCGGTTCTCCAAAATTACACGCCTCTCCACTCCATGCTGTGCTGGCATCGGCCGTTTGGACTTCAACAACTTTGCTTTACGTTTTTCCTCCTGTAACAACTTGCACTCTTTGACTGCTTTTTTAATCTTCTTTACATCATCCGAGTCACTCGCGATGGGATCAGTGGTGTAGCAGTCTACAGTATCCCAACCATACAAATGCGATACAAATGTGTTTGTTACGTTCACAGGCGGCTCAAGCTGTATTTGAGAACCACACAAGGAACACAATTTGCATATCGATTTATAAGGATTTGTATGGGATTTTCTACAAGATATCCATAGAGATAGTTAAAAGTGAAAATATTAAATAAAAATGGCTTACTTTATTCCATACGTGTGTTGCTTGCTCCTGGTGTCGTTATTTTACCGATTTCACTTGATTTAAGCGGTTTTTTTGAATCCCGGTTTTCTCTTAAAACCAGGATTTTAAAAAACCGATTAAATCAAGTGAAATCAGTAAAATAACGACACCAGGAGCAAGCAATACACGTATGGAATAAGGTAAGCCATTTTTGTTAAATATTTTCACTTTTAACTACCTCTATGGCTATCTTGTAGAAAATCCAATACAAATCCTTATAAATCGATATCCAAATTGTGTTCCTTGTGTGGTTCTCAAAGAGAGCTTGGGCTGCCTGTGGTTACGTTCAATCAATAACTGCTCACCTGCAGTAATGGCGGAGAGCAAAACAGCAACTGATAAAATATACTGATCATGTGACTCAAAAACAAACCCTCGGGCCCAGGCCCCAGAGGTGTGTGGGATAACATTTTCCACCTATTTCGTTCCTCAGCCAGTGGAAAATACAACTTATTTTAGCAGGCTTATAATTAAAGCTATGTAATGTGATGACAAAGACAAATAAATAAATATAAATATTACATTTACGGTGGAGACTGCGTACAAATTAAGCTGTCAGTCATGTTCACAAATTTATTTGTGTCAGTTATTACAATTCGATTACAATAAAGAATACCATCACTTGGATGGCCTACAAAAGAGTCATAGACCCCACACATGTACAAAGGCAGACCACCTAAACGAAAAAATTTATAATGTGAAAGACAGGTCAAATAACAAAGTCAGTGGATACGATAACTCTTCTGTGCATTCTTCAAGAGTCCTTGCAAGTATACCATCAACTCCAGAAGCTTTGTTGATAGCTTACTGAGAATATCGTTCACTTTATTATGAGATGTTGAAATTTTTATCGGCTGGTGAGGATTAACCAGGTCACTATGCACTCCCATCAAGTCAGAGGTTTTTGTAGAAAAAAAAAATGCCAAAAAAACTTGCTAAACAAGAAGGATTTTTCAAAGGAATCCTTTGCAGACATTGCCGTACTTCTATTTATAATAACCTTGGGAAGTCTTTTGTCTTGGACTTGAGAGGGAAAGAGTTCCATATAACCCCATACATTAATTATGCATTCATTTCATAAAGACTAAATATAAAGCTTTCTTCGCCACACTCTATGCATAATTAATGTATGGGGTTATATGGAACTCTTGCCCTTGAGCGAGTGATAAGACCAGAATTTCTTTGGATTGGTCTTCAGCTTGTTCCAGAGGGACTTCAAATACATAACATATTTGAAAGAGATGAGAATCTTGGTCTCCTTTCACTCAAAATCTTTAATCTACGGGTCATTTTGACAGATCCACTCACCTTCAGTCACTTCTTGAAGGGGGTGAATAGGGATATGTAAATCTGCCGATCCACTATAATTTGATTACCAAATCCATCAATCCTTAAAAAAAATTGTTAAATGTGGAAAGGTGAAAGATGCACCTTGAGCTGTTGTGTGCTAGCTAAACAATTTTAAAAAACATTCCAGATGACACTTTTTATAGGATCTTTAACTGCTAACTAAATTAAAGATCTACCTTTACATTAGAAATCTGTTGTTGATCCAGAATTGTCATCTTAAGTATGTCACAGCTCCTGATAGGAAAGTGGACTGTTTGTCAAGTTCAGGAATGCTTGAATTTCCATCTTCTGCTTCCTAATGGCTGTCTGTACTTGAGTCATACTCAGGGACCTCCTCCACATTCTCGGGGTCACTCTTGCCTCTTTCAGCTTCCTCTTCCTTCTCATTAACTTCAGAAGACTCCAAACCTTCAGACAAGGCCAAGTTGACTCTGTCTTCGTGTATCTGAAGCTGTCTCTGGTAAATCATTTCCGGCATCGTTCCATGTCTAGCCATGGTTATTTCCTGACCCTTTGTTCTTTGCCAAATGACAGTTCCATACATTAAGGCTTAATTATGCATTTCTTACCCTGCCTTTTCTGAGAGTTTTGCTCCTGGGAGCTGTCAGGAACAGAGGGAAGTGTAGCTAAGGGAATTTCATGTTCTGGGTCAGGGTGCCAGGAGCTCTTTTCACTGGTGTAATAACACAATGTCGAAGACAAGAACCATTTGGTGCTCTCTTTTATTGTACTTCCAAGTTCTGTGCAGTATTTCTCTTTTGATAGTAGCATATGTTTGATGTGGCTGGTGGAGTATATGTGTTCAACATCAAGGGTCATGCAGCTTTGGAGGATAGTGGCATCAAAAGAAAGAGAGGAAAACAGTGACTTCATTCTCTCCAATCCCCAGTGTAGCATATCGACTGACCTCACAGTTACAGCAGAAACTGTGCCATGGGGTCCATTCAGTGTCATCTTAGAGCATCTCCATACAGAGTAAACTGACTTTTCATACTCAGCGAGTATTTGCTTGCAGACCTTGACCTTTTCTGTAGCCTCTGGTAAAGTTCTTGGTGGAAGAGATTGTCCTTTCGAAGAAAGAGAAAGCATCGTAAAGCTTGTCAACAGATTTTAAAAATCTCGCTGTTTTAGAAAGAGTCCTGATTATTTCCAACAAGTTTGATTGACGTAAATATACGATGGAGTCAAACTCAACACAAATACCAATTGGTTGCTTGAACTTGCATTCCAAGATGGGATCGTNGAACGAATACGCTGGTGTACAATTATCCGTCTCTGAAAAGGGTATACTAAGAGGTCGCTAACACGATTTTCAACGTCCGAGGGAACGAAACGCTGCAAATATCACAGCACTCAACCATAACGGTAGGTTAAGGGGGAGGGGAGGGGCTAATATTGTGTGGTGGCAGAGGATATGCAAAATGGCGGCTTTATGATGCAGGCTGTCAGTTGGTAACATATAGTGGACTGCTGGTGTAAAAATGTAATGAATGGCATTGTATCGGAGAGCATACATTTCCAGGTAAGAAACGCAGACATTACTTGCCAGGCCAATTTTTGAAGTACCCTCAAGTGCTGTAGAGTCTTGAATTTGCAACGAACAACCCGGGACACGAACGCATCGCCGTCGTAAACATTTCGCAAACTTTACTTGCTTTTCCAAAGATGGGGCCAGTATTGCACTAATTTGGAAGGAGAGCTGATATGATGATGTTTGCCCTAAAGTTGCATTTAACCAGCTTCTGTTCCTCGATTTCCTTATTCTATCAGAAGGTTAAGAGATTTTGATCGGAATGTGGCCACCAAAACAGCACAAGAAAGTCGTTGGTAAGACAGTACTCAGAAAAACGTTGAAAAGTTTCCAGCAATGCTATCCTTTTAAAAATCTGACCACCGGTAGGCCATAGGGTAGGCCACAGGGTAGGCCATGGCCTAGGCCACGTTTTGTCCACACCCCCCACTTGCAGCATGACACAGTGTCCTGCTGGCCATAGTGTGTTACTATTTCCCTGATGCATGACATCCAGTGGGTGACATTTATGACAAAAAAATACACATACCCAGAAACAAAGCATTTCTGACGATTGTTTAGATCCACAATCCAAACTTCCTCACAAGCAAAATCCAAAATCCAGACCCAAAAAATCAATGAAACTGCGAACTGCTGCAATTTCAGGATCTGCAAATCCATTAAAATTTTGCTCTGAATCCAAAATCCAGGCAAATTAATTTTCAGAATCCACCAATCTGTTGGCCTATTCAACCCCTCCTTCTTTAGGGCTTTCTTTTCCTTACTTACTTCAACAGCTCTTTCTCTTTCCAAGGTGGTCTCTATTTCTATCTAAGCTTCATGTTAGGAATGTGCATATCAACTGCATCATGAAGTACAATATCCAGAATATTAGTTGTACTTGAGTCAATATCATCACATGATATGATGGAATCGCAGGGAATGTATGAAAGGGCACTCCTTAGACTGTTAAAATCAGCTTTGCCGTAATGATAAACAGTTCTAAGACAATTATTTGAGACAGACTGGAAAGTGAACTGAGGTAAAGCCATTTTGGTACACAGTGGTCCCCTCAATAAGTGCATCATGATTTGTCAAGACAAGATCTAGGATACTACCAGGTGATGAAGGTAATGAAGTATTCAAGGAGACATTGGGGTGGGTAGTCTGAGAATTTGTTTGAGTAAGATTCTGTGACATACATATCAACACACATTCTACAGTTTTACTTTCTTTTTTTCTTCATTTCACTGGATTTTTTTTAGTGTGCAATCACTTTCAACTGCCCAGTTTATTTCTCAGAGCCCATGAATTTGATTTTGTTTAGAAAACCCTCTTTCACAAGGCACAGAAGTGAGAGGAATTGTTTGAAAAACTTGTGCAAGAGTTATAAATGAAGTGAATATGTCTTTGTAAACACCTGGCTGTGCAAAACTTCAGACAGTTCATTATTAGGTTTGTCCTTGTTACTATTAAGAAAGTGCCTAAACTAGATAAATGAATTTCTTGCCTTATCACCATCAATTAGACTGTCTTCTTCAGATGCATCAGCATACCTCTCAATCAATCTTCAAAGATTCTCGGTACTATGATTTCAAATTCCAGCTGCTAGCTATGCTAGGTAATTTGGCAGGGTTGAGAGTGATATTGAAATCTTTAAGTACTTGCATATCTTTTTCATGAAATCTCTCTTCTATGAAATGTTGATGTTGTCATGAAATTGTCCTTGATTCTATTGAAACAATTTTTCTATGCCAGATTGAAATCTTCCACTTTGGTTCCTTTATGTTTATGATCATTTTTTTCCTTGTGGGAAAGCAGTTCTCCCAAATGTTCACCAGGATTTTCTTTCATGGCTTTGATTGTTCACACAGTTACTTCTAGATGTACCACTGATTGCATTTGATCAATGTCAATCATGTCTTTCAGAAAGACTTGCTGCATATACTTATGACCGAGCCAGGTTCTGATCTTGTTATTTGAACAACGAGACAGATTTATAGCCACAATAAAATTTATTTATACAGGAAAGTACATAAGAAATAATACTGGTAAAAAGAAAGGGTGATTGCAAGCTAAAAGAAATAATAAATGACAAATAGCAAATCAATAATTTAAAATAATGAAATTAAACAATTAGTAAAAATACAATCGATTGTCATACTATAGCAAGGCACTAACAAGACAATTTGAAAGCATTGCATGACAGAACAGTAATCATTGTGACACTTAAAAGACTTAATCCTATTAACCAAACATAGAACCATTGAATGGTGGGCTACTCTGTGAATTATACATGAAATGACTTAAAACAAGTCAATACTGATAAAACAATAGCTCAAAACAACATAACATTAGATAAGACTAATTTCAATCACAATTTCATATTTTCCTTCGACTTAAAACTAGGAAGACTGGCAAAATCTCATTCAGTGACAGGACAACATCTGTCATTACTGATGGACTAAACAATGAAGACTGTAGTGAAATATCTGATTTCACCAATGAACTTTAAGTCAAGTATACAGATAAATGCAATGTTCTGAAAGCTGAATGCAATCTTGACACATTTTGAACATGAATCAACTAATATAAGGATTCAAGCAAAGACTAAACAATTGGATTGAGATAAGTACACATGAACCATATTATTCTTGAACTCAAACTGTAAGACATACAATAATAGGTCAAATGTGACATACCAAATCCTCAGTAAAATAGGTCACTAACTTGAGGTTACATGTACTGGAGTTACTTTTTTTGTGACCAAGAGGTTCTGAGCTTGTAAGTGCTGGTCTTGACACTCTGAACTACTGAGTTAAACTAACTAACTGTACTTCTTTTATANGTTATCACTAAATATACTGAAAGTTCATTGACTGTAATAGTTATGGAACTTGTTACTGCAGTTCTTGGTTGTTTGAATTTATTCTTGTGTTTTCCAGCTGTTTTCCTCTTTGTTCGTCTTGGTGGTATAGGTACAGTTTCTGATTCAGGGTCCTCTGTTCGGGGTACTGGTTCTGCTGAAGGTATTGGATCTGAATTAGGTTGAACAATTGATAATTGTTTCTGTGGGCAAACATGGTCATTTGTGACTGGAACTATAGGTTTTGTTTCACTTGGGATGACTGTGGCTGCTGTTGGGCTTGTGTATCCCTTAGGGAGAGTTAACACAAATTCCTCATCTGCATTGTCTTCTTGGTCAGTTGCAATATTATTGGAATCTGTTGAGAAGGGTTTGACAGGTTTAGGTCTATGGTCGTTCTGTTCCTTGCTAGGACTGACTGTGCTTATTCTCAGGTTACTTTGATGCACTTTCTTAATTTCACTGGGACTATCCACCGATACAAGCCTGTCTTTTGGGAGATTGACAACTTTGTACAGAATAGAATCCCAAGCATCTTGAATCTTGTTACGCCCACGTACATGATTTCTAAGGTACACCAGTTGTCTTTTCTGGATTGGGATGTCATACTCTCTGTCAGAGTGTTGTTCATGTTGCTTCTCAGCCTGTTGCTTGAGGTGCTCCCCTGCTCTTTGGTATGCATCTCTCAGTCTTGCCTGTTGTTCAGTTAGTCAATCAGCATGGTTTTCATGAACTTTTTCATCCTCACCCAGGAGTAAATCAATTGGAAGTCAAGCTTCCCGTCCAAACATGAGAAAGTGAGGACTGTATGTTGTAGATGAATGTGGTGTAGCATTGTAAACATACAACAACTCTGGTAGGTATTCTGGCCATTTACGCTTCTTTGCTGGTGAGAGAGTTCTAAGCAGATCATGCATTGTTCTGTTGAACCTCTTGCATTGTGCATTTCCTTGTCGGTGGTACGGGGTCGTTTGTGTCTTCTTGATTTCATAAAGTCTACAAAGCTCAGCGATAACTTCACTTTCAAAGTTTCTTCCTTGCTCTGAATGAATTCTGAGAGGAATTCCATACTTAAAAAACCATTCTTTTACAAGGACTTTAGCTGTTGTAGTGGCTTTCTGATCTCTTGTTGGAACTGCACATGTGAACTTTGTGAAGACATCTGTCATAACAAGGACATTCTCCCTTCCATCTGTTGCTGGTTTAAGGACTGTAAAGTCTATTGCTAAGATTTCAAGTGGCTTGGTTGCCAACAGGCTTCCCATAGGTGGTTGAATCCTGTGGTTTGGCATCTTTGCGAGAGTACATCGTTCACAGTTCTTGATCCAATTCTCCACATCTGAATACTTTTTGGGCCAATAACATCGTTCTTGCATCAGTTGAAGGGTTCTCTCTATTCCCTGATGTCCTGTATCATCATGCAGGTTGGTAATGACTTTTTCTCTGAGAGTGGCTGGTAACAGGAGTTGTTTCAGTTCTCCAAGTTTGGGATCCTGTACAGTTCTGTATACCAGACCTTGGTCTCTTGTAATTCTATTCCACTGTCGTAACAGGGTGACACACTGGTGGGAAAGTCTTCTCCTCTCATCAAGGGTTGGTTTTGTGCCTTTCTCCTAGAACTTCATAAATTCCTTGATTGTAGGGTCTGCCTTTTGCATGTTGATAAGCTTTTCTTTTGTATGAGTGGGAAATGATGTTGTAGCAATTACTGTATCATCTCTCAGTAACTTTTTATTTTCATCTGATGTTAGATTGACTGTGGATAGATTAAGGTCTGGTTCATGTACAGCCATTCGTCTCACTTCTATTGGGATGGGTGTTGTTACAATTGCATGACTCAGGTCAGGTGGTACAGGAGTTGCCATGGTGACTATGGAGTCTATATGTAATAGTTCATCTTCTCTTGATTCTTCTGTTTCGTCTGGTACTGGTCCCTGAGGTTGACATGATAAAGCATCAGTGTTTACATTTGATCTTCCACTCCTGTAATTTATAGTGAAGTCAAATAAAGCAAGCTGAGCTGCCCATCATTGTTCTAAAGCACCAAGCTTGGGAGTTGTTTGCAAGTACTTCAGGGAATTGTTGTCAGGGAAGACTTCAAATTTTGAACCAAGCAGGTAGGTCCGGAATTTCTCAGTCATTGCCC